GATAATATGACCAATAAACATGACCTACCGATTTAAATTATTTTTAATATAAAAAACTACTTTTTGTGACTCAAATATAAACGTTAGACATATGCTGTCGCTGACTTTTTTGTAGGTATCATTAAGCTCTACAACTTTTCTCTAGAATATAATCACATATCTCGTAAGAAACGTTTTCGTTGGACGGTTTTTTCTCCGACTTAATACTTAATACTTGCAAATCCGACTACCATGAAAAAGTCTTTTCATTCTTCGGGTTAATATATAGCCTATGACACTCAGAAACAACGTGGCTTTCTATTGGTAAAAGAATTTTGCAAATCGGTTTAGTAGATCCAGAGATAACCCCCTACAATATCACAAACTCACAATATCACAACCTTTACCTCTTTATAATATTAGTATAGACTAGCTAAACCTGGCTATTGGAGAATAGAAGTTCTAAACTAAAGCAAAATTAATATTTTTGCTTACGTTTTTTGTGGAGGGTTTAATTTCCTATATTGCATCACTTCCCTGAATGTATTTAAGAGGAGATTTCAAAAAAATTATAATAGCCTTTTTTTTTAATCAGTCTAATACATAGATATATACCAATCTTTACTCTACCTTTTCCATACTAACTGTTAAAATGTGACTAAGGGCTAACCCGATCGAAGCGAGGGTGAGTCGCTAGTACTGGATATTATTTTAGCTTCGCCAAAATGCCTACACCATTTTGGCGAAGCTAAAACATTTAGTCTGGTGTCTATATCATCCAAGCATCAAGTGATGCTTAGACGATCAATTCTAAATATTTATTTTTATTTATATACAACTTTAAACTGGACATCAACATTATTTAAAACTCGCATCATAAAAAAAATATTTATAAATTTTAGAAAACGCCTAAGTATTACAAATATGTTTAGGCAGTGCGAATGAATAATTGAGTTTTGTAAAAAAAACGTGTATGTGTACTTAATGTGTACGCACGTAAGAAGTTATACTTCTTTGGCACAACAGATCCAAAATAGCTAAAGATTTCATCCCGTATGTCACAACTCTCTGTTTGTAAAATGAATGCAGCTAATTTCATCATGTTGCTTTTTCGTTGTCGGTGTGCGCGCGCATTGAAAAAATGTTATTCTCATATTTTTACCAAACGTGCCAAAAGAAGTATAACTTCAAAAAAGTAATGCTCAGATTTGTCATTTTTATTAAGGAAAAAAGTTTAATAATACATTATATTATCAAATATTAAATTAAAACAAGGTTTAGGGCTTTATTAAATCTTTATTAAATTTAAATTAGACTCTATTATTAAGCTTTCCGATTTTTATATTATGGAGGCTGGTTTGAACAGATACTATTCGTATAGTTTTATTTTAACTGTGATTATTTAGTAGTACCGAGCTTCGCTCGGAGTTTTTGGTTGCGAAATACAATATTCTTTAAAAAAAGAACTAAAAACTTGAATAAATACAAAAAAAAAACTAAAATAAATTATACTTTTGTATCCGGTCGAGATTCGAACCTGGACACCTATCATTGTCAATCTTGCGGTCTTTTTAAAATAAAAACTAAAAGCTTGAATAAATATTAAAAATAAAATAAAAGTGAAAACTTTGTATGCGACCGAGATTCGAACCTGGACACCTGTGATTGTTAATCTTGCACCTCGGCCACTTGAACACGATGCTTATGTCCGAGCGTGCAAATTACCGACCATATTTTGCGTGGAATAATGCAAAAGAAAACTGCATGAAAACTCGAAAACATGCGTTTTCTCAGACATAAGACTAATCTAGATCGATGTACCGCCCTGAAACTCCTCGTGTACAAAATTCATGAAAATCATTGAAGCCGTTTCCGAGATTCAGATTATATATATATATATATATAATATGTATAATATCTACATAAATTTCACACCTCTAACTTTATCTTACAATGTGGATTTGTTTAAATGGTTTAATTTGAAATAGTCAAATTTAATCTAAATCGGTTTAATAGATCCGGGAGATCACCCCCTACAACCTCACAAGCTCACAAACTTTACCTCTTTATAATATTAGTATAGATAACGTATATAAAAAAAACAATGTTAGGTATATAATAAAAATACACTGGCGTGCAAAAAAATCGGGCCACCTAGAGAAAATGGACAAACTTAAGATATGATATTTTTTTTATTAATTTTGTTATTATATATGGGTAGCTGTATACCCTAAGTACCTAAATCAATAATCGTTGAATAATTTAAATAAAAATTATTGCTCGAAAATAGAGGAAAATCAAATTTAATGATTTTTCGCGAGTTTGGTATAAAAATGTAAGCCGCAAATTAATAGGAAAATTAAAAGATTTCGATTGGTTTTATGATTTTTAATAATGCGTATTACCGCCTCTATTTTTAATTACAGCTTTTAATCGGTTTTTCAGAGATTTGACACACTTTTTTAGATAATCTTGTGTAATAGACTCCCATTCTTCCAATAAGGCGCTTTTTAATTCTTGAATGTTGCTCGGGACTACTACGCGACTTCTAACTTTTCTTTTGAGATGGTCCCATACATGCTCTATCGGATTGAGGTCAGGGCTTCGCGCTGGCCAGGCAATAGTAGACACTCAGACCTCTTGAAGATACTACCTTACTGATGTAGCAGTGTGTGGGCGAGCATTATCTTGTAGAAGCAGAAAATCTTCTCCAATGAACCCAATAAAAGGCATCACATGATCTTCTAAAACCTCCGTTATATACCTAGCGGCTGTAAGGGATCCATTTTCTATGAATATAAGCTCGGTTTTCGCTTCGTAACAGATTCCTGCCCAAAACATAACTGAGCCCCCTCCATATGACACTGTTTCCCGCATAGTGCATGGTGCATATCTTTCACCTGGTTGCCGGTAAACAAAGTTACGGCCGTCGGCACCATGCAAACACATTCTGCTTACGTCAGTAATAAGAAACTTCTTCCACTGCTCCAAATTCCAATTCACGTGATCTCGGGCAAAAAGTAATCTTGCAATTCGATATGCAGGGGTGAGTTTGGGGCTAGTTGCGGACTTGCGTGGCGTCAGGGAAGCGGCTCTAAGTCGGCGCCTTACTGTCCACTCGCTAACATTAATACCTCTCACTTCTCTCAGGAGATTTCGAACGTCAACCCCTATGCGATGACGATTTCTTAGAGCTGATGACACAATAAATCGATCTTCACGCTCTGATGTGGCTCTTCGTCGGCCGGAACCATGTCGTCGTACAAAGCCACCAGTTTCTATGTAACGTTTGTACACTCTCTGGACCGTAGAACGGCTCACAGAAAAAGCTTGAGCCACTTGACGTTGACTTTGTCCAGTTTCAAGCAAAGTCATAATTCGAGATGACTCAGCCTCGGTCACATCCATCTTGCAGTATTTCTAATAAGTGCAGATCAAAGTAAAAGTGTCTTGTTCAATAATTGGAACTCACCTAAGCTTTTAAAATAACAAAAAACAGTATTTGTGCCTTCAATCCATATTATGCAAATATTCACTAATTACTGCTTATTGACTATAATTAAGCGTGCATTTCCAGGAATTTTATGACTTTTTTGAAGGAAACAAATTGCGGACTTTTCTATAGACCTTTTTAAGACCTACAATTTTGTAATACATTACATATTTTGATGTATCTCTTAAGATTTAGCCAGCGTTAGCCATATAAATTTCTAAGGCCAACTCGACAGAACCAGTTATCGTGTTTTCCTGTGGGAATGAAAAAATTGTCTGTAGTTAAAGGTATCCTAAATGTTGACTCTAGTAATAATTTATCACTACACAAAATTTAGTTAAAGCCGGTTCAGTACTTTTTTCGTGAAACGCGCACATCGATTTGACTAAGTTAGTTTTATTAAAGGTAGTACCTGGGCGACCGAGCTTCGCTCGGAGTTTTTGGCCAAAGAAATATTTAAAAAAAAAACAAACTAAAAATTTGAATAAATACAAAAAAAAACTAAAGTAAAATCTTTGTATCCGACCGGGATATGAACCCAGACACCTGTGGTTGTCAAACTTGCGCCTTGGCCGCTTGATCACGATCCTTATGTTCTAACGTGCGAATTAGCGACCATATTTTGCGTAGAATAATGTGGAACCAAACTCGAAAACACGCGTTTTCCCAGACACAAAACTAATATAGTTTATCGCCCCCGAAACTCGCGGTATACTAAATTTCATGAAAATCGTTGGAGCCGTTTCCGAGATTCAGATTAATATTATAAATGCGAAAGTTTATGAGGATGAATAGATAGATGTATAGATGTTTGTTATTCTTTCACGCAAAAACTACTATATTTATTTTCAAAGTGGTAATTTAATTATATCTAATAGAAATCGATTGACAAAAATTTTATTTTCATTTTTTAAATACATTTATTTAGGCTTGGCCCATAGAAAACAGGTATTAAATAAACTATAAAGCGTATTATAGCACTTACATTTACTTTCATTTTACTAGTTTTGAAATTAACTAAGATATATCGCTTTCAAAAAAAATCGCTCTCGGACACTTTTTTTAAATAACTCCTCAATTAACTAAGATATAGAGCTAATATTTACTGGATCAATTATTATTAGTGTCCTCTACATTATAACATTGGTTACGATATAGGTTCCCATCGGGGGCACTTTCACCCCCCACCCACTTCAATTCCAAACCCACTTCAATGGAGTTTCAACAGTTGATCGAAGACAATAAACAAGTTATACTAGAACGAATCGCTGGGGGTTTTCGATATTTTGTTAGTAATTATAGTGTACCAAAGACTTACACCAACTTTCAACTCTATGCAAATTATTGTAAATTGAAATGAATAGACTAATAGCGAGAATTACCATTAAAACAACATATTTTATTGATTAAAAAATATTTAATTGCATTTTTCGATTGGACTAATCGTTACATCATAGAATCATAACACAAAATTTTCATACATGTTTTTAGAAATTTTATTCTTGAACGATTATTAATGACATCCTTATTCATTAAGGAACTCTACCGTTGTAACGGAATCAGCCTCAAGAAACACTGAAGTTTGTTTTTTGCCATTGCTCAAAATAACAGTCCTCTCGTGGCCACTAAAATAGAATACCTATTATAAAAACAGAACAAAATTATAACCTAGTGGCTCAAAATCATAATATTTATTTTATTTACAGAAGTAAAAAAATTTTTCAAGCTAGAAGAAGAAAGACCCGCTACTGAGCACGAGCCTCCCCGTGTCCCCTATTTATTGAAGTTGATAGGTTTTTAATAAGTTTTTTCAACAAGTTAGAGGGCGAATGTTCATTCCATTATAATAGAAAAGTACATGTGTTTAAATCACGCAACATTTTTATACTACGTAAAACACAACGGAGCATCTTCATTGAAACACTTATTTGCCATTGTGCTTACTTAAGTATCAGTACTTACTTGTTATAAATGATTATGACAGTTGTATTTCTTGGCGTAATAAAAGCTACTTGATATAAATTTGAACTCAACAGCAATTTCTTTTCAGTCACTTTGATCCTTGCTGAATCTCGCGGAATAAATTTAGAAAAATGACCCATAGCATAAAACATTGGCTGTTTGAAGAACTCATTTCTTTTTTTATCGACGATTATTGCTGAATCGACGTAATTTTCGACCCAATTTGGACCCCCTTTATTATCCAAACATAAGTTCCAGTCGATCCACCCAACCAAATTGTAGTTAAGATCCTGTGAAGAGGAAATTTTATTTAATTTCAGTCATTAGGTTAAAACATTAGGGTACAATAACAAATAAAAAAATCTGTTATATAAATCCTATTTATACAATTATATTTATAAAACTAGCATTGCCCGCGGCTTCACCCGCGTTCAGATGACTAAAAACCAAATTCTTAGGTTTTACATATTAGTATACTCTTACAATGCAGTTTTTATATTTTTTCTCAGAAATGAAATATTTTCCCGCGGTAAAAAGTATCCTATATGTTGACCCAGATATCCAGCTATCCCCCCCAACGTGCGTTCACCTTGTCGTGGTGGGGGGGGCTCAGTAGTGCCCGGCAATCCAGCCGGGCGCGAAGTCAAGAAACGCACAGGGAGGTGGCCTACTTCGGTGGGCGGTGGGAGGTGGCCCTCTTCGGAGGGCGATGTACCATGCGGGTTGCTCCTGGTACTTCTCTGATAGCAGAGTGGACCTTGGAGCAACCCCGTGGTTGTTGTGGTCTGCTTCGGCAGACCTGCCGTCGGGGCGTCGTAGTTGAATGCGTAAGCGATCCTGCGACACCCCATTAAGACGGGGGGAGGCTTTGTTGGGTTTTAGTGGGTAGTACTGGCTTTGCCGGTGAGTCCCACACCTCGTGCGTAAATGCATTTCCCAACGTTAAAAAAAAAAAAAGATATCCAGCTATGATCGTACTAAATTTCATTAAAATCTGTCCAGTGGTTTTCTCGTGATGCGATAACGGACAGACAGACAGACAAAAATTCTAAAAACTGTAGATTCGGACTCTGTAATTAGATTTTCCAAAAAAGATTTAATGTACAGATTCGACTTAGTTACAATTTTATTATATGTATAGATTAGAGTCAAGTCCTATGTTATCCACATACTTACTAATATTATAAATATGAAGGTGTGTTTGTTTGTTTGTTTGTCTGTCCTTTTTTCACGTCACAACGGAGAGACGGATTGACGTGATTTTTTGTGTGGAGATAGTTGGAGGGCTGGAGAGTGATATAGGTTACTTTTTACCGTGGGAGATTATCTCATTCCTACGGGAAAACACGTTATAATACAATCCAAAAAATATTTATGATCAGAATTACTTGAAACTTGGCATTAATGCTCTTCAATAAAATTAAATAAATACGTGTTTTAGGATTTTTCGAAATTTATTCTATAAAGGGGTAAAATAGGAGATGAAAGTTTGTACGAAACTACCTTTTTAGATAGTTTTAGCGCGAGCGAAGATGCGGGTTCTGCAAGTATTAAATAAATTTTTAATCTAATTAATGGATATTATAACTCATGATTAAAAAGATAGCCATAAAAAGTTAGACTATCTCTTTGGCCTTTATAATTGTAACCTTTATAGAATCTATACATATAATAAAATTGTAACTATGTCGAATCTGTACATTAAAATTTTTTTGGAAAATCTAATTGAAATAGACATTATTATCGATACAGAGTCCGAATCTATACTTTTTAGAATTTTTGTCTGTCTGTCTGTTACCGCATCACGGGAAAACCACTGGACAGATTTTGATGAAATTTGGTATGATAATAGCTGGTTATCCGGGTCAACATATAGGATACTTTTTACCGCGGGAAAATATCTCATTTCTGTGAAAAAATACAAAAACTGCATTGTAAGAGTATACTAATATGTAAAACCTAAGAATTTGGTTTTTGGTCATCTGAACGCGGGCGGAGCCGCGGGCAATGCTTGTAATAATTAAAAATAATGAATTACTTCCAATATGTCAAGAATATAGGATTTTGCTCTATCCCAAGATCCTGGTAAAACTTTTTCAGATTGCCACGGGAAACTACCTGCAACAAGTGAATTCATATTAATATGTAACAAGACTACAGTCTTGTCCATCAAGAAACCAAGAAATAGAATACCATTATTTTTACATCCATGCTTCTTTTGCCTTCTACTTTCACATTTTTTGCTATATTGAGTACCGTAATTATTTTGTGGTGGCATCAACATATTGGTGATTGGTTATAATCACAACTTAATAAGGACATAAAAATGCTGTAGGATGTTTTATTACGGTAATTAAATAAGTCTGTATCTCTCTTTACTCAATTACCACAATAATATCTTTCAGCATCCACTTATTTTATTCATTTTTACAAATCATAGGTTCAGGTTCCCTTCAGGTGAAAACTTATGTTTCCTCCTATGTTCTATACTGTTACCACTAATATTTTCAGTTTTCAATATTAATCAGTCTTAATTACTATTAAAGAAATTATATTTTTAGTATTAATCAGTCAAATCTTGAACTTTAATTTATCCTAAGTTATCTACTCTGTGTAAATAATTCGACTGTTCAAACTTAAGAAATTCTATTTTTGAATAGCAAACAATAAATTGCGTTTTAAATTTATTTCAGAATGTTGTATGTTCTTATGAAAAAAATTAGAATTATCTACAGAACTTGGCCCCCATTTAGATTTCAATTATTTTCGGTGAAGTTGACAACCGCGACGCATATTCTTAATATTGAACTTGGCTCCTATTTTCACATTTATGTTTTTAATGGGAACTTGAAAAAATAACATGTTTTATTTTTACTTAGTGTCTGGAAGTCAGTATTTATTTTTTCTTTAAAAAGAATTAAGAATTTTAAGAGAATAATAGAAATGATATAAAATTTTAAGAATTTTTATGTTTTGTATTTTTTTTTGTTTTATAACTTGATTTTATATTGCAATGCACGACGATGGCGGGTGAATTTCAATATAATTGTTTTATTGTTTGTAATCTAGCGAGAAAATAGACTAGCCTTTTAAGTATATCCTAAAATATCAAAATCCAAAATGGTATGTAGCATGCTTTTGTATTATGTTTATAAAATAATAAGATCAATTTAGCCAAATTCAAATATAAGAAATATGTATGTAGAAAAATTTCTTGTAAAACATGTAATAACCACTAGCAAACCTTATTAAAATAAATAAATAAAAAAAAAGAAGTTTATCAGTTGAACATATGTATGTATATACGTATATAATATATTTTGAGAAGTGCAAAATATTCATATATCATTTATTAGGGCCTGTACGTTCGTATGTATGTATTTTTGTCCACACATTTCCAAAACTAGAGATCGAATTGCATCCATCGTCTTTTTATTTCCTTACATTTACTTCAACTTAAGGAACAGCAAAAATTTAATCAAAATCAGTCGTTTCTATTTTTATTTAAAACTTTTTTTCTTTAAATAAAAGAAAATAATATTCCTCGGGGTATCGCGCTCAAAACCTTCGTCGGTTTTCCGCGATTATCTTTCTAACCGTTCACTTATATGCAATTTTATTTATTATCAAAGTTACATATATATTTTAATTATCTACAACTTTTATTTAAAAAAAATTATATTGTATTTCTCGACTTATTACTTAAGTTATCTGTATATAAATGTAATAATACCTGCAACATTGTGTTAAAAATTCAATACGGTTCAATTATTCATGTATTGTTTTCGTCCATGATTAAATACATTTTGTAGTATTTGTATTTATCAATTAAATCAACGACATAACATTATCAAAGGTTAGCATAAATATTCACTATATTTCATGCTAACCAGCGTTTTTGACTAAGTTTAATGTAGGTACTTCAATTTACTTACATAATCAACGAAACGTTGCAACTTTTGAGAAAATAAAAGTCTAATTATTTAAACTTTCCAAATAGGTACCAAAAAATATACTATTTGTATGTTAATGATATTATTTAGTTTTCCACAGCTAAGTACCTCCCCAACACCACAAGGTGAAGGCACATTGAGCGGGGCCTACATTAAAGACCTTTTCTTTAACGTTGAGAAATATGTTTATGCATACCACCTGTAACATACAGGTGGTTATGTGGGACTCACCGGCTAGAAAAGCCATTACTACCCACTAAAACCAAACAAAACCTCCTCCGTTTTAATGGGGCGTCGCAGGATCGCTTACGCACTCAACGACGCGACGCCAGGTCACCAGGTCTGCCGAAGTAGACCACATCAACAATGGGGTTGCTCCAACGGTCCATTCTGCCATCAGAGAAGTACCAAGAGCAACCCACATGGTACACCACCCACCGTAGTGGGCCACATCTCTGTACCTTTTTTCGCTTCGCGCCCGGCTGACGTACTGTTTATAGATAAAATATATAATAGGTACGCTACCAAATTTCAAATTCTAATTATTATTACGAACGTAACATACCTTGGTCTTACAATATAATTGATTATCACACCGTTTAACAGTCTACATAACATTTTGCTTTAGTTTAGGACTTCTATTTTACAATAGATAGTTTTAGCTTTAGCTAACAGTTCTAAAATAATTTCGTCGATAGTTTTATTTAGTTTTTTTTATATAATTATTTATTTAATATATTTGATATACCTACGAGTACTATACGTATTCCGTATTTTATTTACATATGAATTAATACGCGGTTATCTCGTTACTGCGCGTACATGTAATGACATGTAAATAGAAAATTGTGATTTTCGTTAATTACTTTATGTTCAAATCCGTGCCGTGACCTGTTGAACTTGCAGCTGAATGCATTAGAATTTTCGTTAAGTCTTATTATGATAATTGCTTTACTTACTGTATCTATATAGACTAGGTACTACTGTATTATCATTAGCAGTACAATATTTTTTAAACAAATTCGATATTAATTCATAGAAAGCAAAATAAGCATTCGGCAAAAATAGTATATGGAACGCGGCCCCTAGAGGAGTTGGTGGTATTTTTGGACAGGGGAGGTGATAGGGAGTTCAAATGTATAAAAAATCTTTTGAGGAAATGAAGAAGTCAAAAGTTATTGAGACTTAAATTTAGAATATTTCCATACATTTCTATACCTAAATAAGTCATTACAAAAGATAAACATATCTTTAACGAACATTAAATATCCTTTTTCGTGTAAAATCCATATTTTCATAACAATTAAGGCTTTATTGTATTAATATCCCGAGAGCTGGTGACGAATTTTGGAAAGGCTCTTTTGGCAAGTTGAAATTGAGAAAAAATATAATTTCGTCAATTGGCGAGTCCAGTGCCACTAGTCTGGTATAGCTTTAGCGGTTATTTCGTTACTGCGCAGTATATAACATTTGCAAAAAAAATATCCAAAATAACATATTTTTGGCAACTTGATTTTTGTTTAATCTTTTAATTTAGTTTTTCTATAATTCAGAAAAAAGAACCCCAGACGTTTTTGTCAGTAAGAAAGTATTACCAGACCTCTCCAAAGGTATTTTATTAAAATTCCCAAAAGATATACTTTTGGCAATCTGAAATTTTAATCACGTATTTATTTACGTACGTATTTATTTACGTAGTAATTTTCAATAATATTTGCAAATTGCCAGAAAAGTTTACCGGTTTTAAACCAATCCCAGGCGTAAATAAAGTTTACAAATAAGTACTACAAAAAAGTCTTATGCGTAGCCATAGGTGCGAGAAAGATAGCTCACAATCACAATTTCAACTTACCAAAAGGACCTTCCCAAAATTCGTCGCCAGCTCTTGGAATATAATATTTGATAATTTCACTAAAAACAATAATCTAAACAAAATAATCTTAAATTTTCACAAAACTGTCAATTTCTGTTTTATATAGGTACCGCTTTCAGGACAACAGATTATCGCGTAATAATTAGTTAAGAGTTATACATAATATTATTAGAAGTGAAAATTGTCATCTGATTACTAATATTTTAAAATAGGGAATGAAAGTTTCTATGGATCCTACTTTTTTTTGTAGATTTAGCACGAGCGAAACTGCGGGTTCTGTTAGTAATTTATATTATTATTAAATTGTAACACTAGCGATTTTTTCGCTAACAGCTACAGAGAAAAACCGGTAACAGGTAGTGATAATTTTTTCCGTCTAAATTATATCTATTTATATAAATAATGTAAGTATATGGAGTAACTCTAAAAAAGGTTATGATAAATTCAGGCATTTGTTAACATATAAATATCCAAAAATCGGACTAAAACGAATTACTTATTTATAACGACACCCCCAACAAAAAAATAAAGAAAATATATATTTTTTTTATTTTAATTAATAGCGACACAAAAACGAGACAAACAACCAGACAACCGGATGAGACAAAAACAAATGTATCCCACGGGAACCGTGCATTTTTCCGGCTATATGATATATATACTCGTATATATCATATAGCCTTCCTCAATGAACGTGCTATCTCATGCGAATTTTTTTTTTCAAATCAGATTAGTAGTTTCTGAGATTAGCGCGTTCAAATAACTAAACCAACAAACAATCTCTGCCTCTTTATAATATTAATATAGATTAATTATCAATGTATAGGTACAACAAACAACACATAATTTGTTTTTGAGAACTTATAGGCAAATGTAAACATTCTGAAAAGTACGGGAAATTTTTCCGTAGACTTGTAGCTCGGGCGAATAATCACTTCCTTATTTAAAATGTCAAATATTTGCATAAAAGTATTAAACAAATATTACCTTCACAAGCTTCCGTGGCCAAAATAAACTTTTCAGGATGACTTAAAGTTACTATTTCAAAAATAGCAGGTGAAATAAATTTATCAGTATAATAGTGCACTCCAATGCCGTCTATGTACTGTAGTGCATTCGGGTGACGACTCAGCATCTAAAAATTTAAAACTATTTTTGTGATGGAGATTACTTTACTGTCGTTAATATATTAAAAGAGTCCAATTTTTAATCCACACAATTAGACATAAATCTTTCTGATAATTCTCAGGGTTTTACACAACCGTCCTTAAGTAATCTTACATCATGATTGTGAAACGGGGGAACGGTTTCTACTTATTACTTGAGGTATAAGTAAATTTCGGTATATATGTGAAATACTAGATATTATAACAAGTTATTACAAACTAGCGTCTCACCCTCGCTTCGGTCGGGTTCGTCCTAAGGTACGTTTTAAATACAAAACGTTAGTACGAAATACAAATCTTTGAATTTCTCGACTTTCCTGTACTATAATATACATGTATTATACATATAAAACTTCCTCTTGAATCACTCTATCTATTAAAAAACCGCATCAAAATCCGTTGCGTAATTTTAAAGATCTAAGCATACATAGGGACAGACAGACAGCGGGAAGCCACTTTGTTTTGTGTACGTAGTGATTGAAAGTAGCAGCATCATTATTAAATCCTTTATTCATCCTTCTGTTTCAAACTGTCGCCAAAATTACTACCTACTTTATTGCCTAATTACTTTGTACTTAGTAGGCATGTTCACAAGTAAAACTAATGAAAATATGTTAGGTACAAATAAAAACCATAAAGAGCTACTCTCTTCTGTTCTACTTCTTATTCTCTTACCACATTAAACCAATATGGAATTGTGATTCTCTGATCATCACCGGTAATAATTTTGACATCTCTAAAGTGTGAATTGCGAATTGTCGGTCCCAAATTATCTACAATCCATTTGCCCTGAAAGAAGAGTACTAGCTGTAAATATCTATATTGCGAAATAAAATCTGAGGAATGAAATAATTATAATACAGTCATATTTACTTAAGATTTAACATAACATTTTCTATTCATATAATAAAATTGTAACTTAGCTGAATATCACCATACCAATTTCATCAAAATCCCTCCAGTGGTTTTTCTGTGATGCGGTAACAGACAGACAGACACACAAAAATTCTTAAAACTATAGGTTCGGCCTCTGTTAGCGATAATAATGTGTATTTCAATAAAATTTTTCAAAAAATATTTAAAGCACAGATACGGCTTCATTAAATTTTAATGTATCTATAGATCTAACTAATTTATAAAGCCAAAAGATTGTTTTTTGATAATTTAAACACGGGCGGGGCCGCGGGTAATTTAGTAGTAATTCTAATAAAATAATAGAAAGGTCGAATTTGTACATTTAATTTTTTGGAATTAAAATTACGTATTTTAAAAGACATATGGCGACATCTATTGACAAATATCTAAATAATACAAAAATTAATTTGATTAAAATAATTTTTTTATGAATAAAATAGTGCTATTGATTTACTTTTTCAAGATTAGCTATTTTTAATAGTTTTTATCATATTTAGAAAGTTAACTTGCTAAAATCATCATCTTTTTTTATTCTAACCAGTTTTTGTATTTTTTCTCAGAAAAAAGATATTTTTCTGCGGTAAAAAGTATCCTATATGTTGACCCGGATAATCAGCTATGACCATACCAAATTTCATCAAAATCCGTCCAGTAGTTTTTCTGTGATGCGGTAACAGACAGACAGACAGACAAAAATTCTAAAAACTATAGATTCGGCCTTTGTATCGATAATAATGTCTATTTCAATAAAATTTTCTAAAAAAAATTTAATGTACAGATTTGACTTAGTTAGAATTTTATTATATGTATAGATAATATGGATCGAGATCCCGCTGCAAGATTTCTACGTTCATCGCGTATGTCCATCATTTATATATCAAATTAAAGCTATTTTTTTCTGTATCTGATAAACTACGTCTGCCTATACAAAAGTGGCCGCAAAAGCGGTTGCGAGTAATTAAAAATGTTTTTGTTAGATTTATACGTTCATGGCGTATATTCATCATTTATATATCAAATTAAAGCTAATTTATCTAGCTCTATATAAATGATGAATATACGCCATGAACGTAGAAACGTAACAAAATATGACCTGCTCACACCTGGCTGCGAAGAGGTTGCGGCCAAATGCGCAACGGCAGCTATCACTTTTCAAGATCTCTACGTATATTTCGGTGAAGTGGAGTATAATTCATTGTAATAACAAGTGCATCGTTTTTATTCCAAAAAGTCAGCTATTATTCAGTTTATTAAACATACTAGTAGGCACATTTGGATAGGCACCCCGGTCAAAACTTATTGTCCCTTTTATTATTGTATATAAAAAAATGATTTCGATTAAATACGCTATGAACGTAGCGTTCATGCAGCGGCATCTTAGTCCAATAGATATAAATTTTCATTTCAGTAAGATAATGTAAATAAACTCTGTCCATATTGAATTTGCACTTACCATCTCAATCATATCCCATCCAAGAGAGTTAAATGTGGATAGCGCAAATACTCCATTAATAGGCTCGTTAGTTGTTGTTATTCCCCATATAGGAATACCTGACTCATTATATTTTTGTATGAATCTAAAAAATTAAACTACTTTATTTATTTTAATATTGTTTCTATATTATTTTTAGCAAATACGAATGGTATCAAAATGCTATGTTAAAATTTTCAGGCTAATTAAGACTAGTAATAATAATAAATGGATTTCAGCAATGGCGGTCAATCACATTGAGATTGGCAATGTGTGGATGAGATATTACAGAACACAAGTGTGCCTGCAAACAGACGTACACTCTTTATTTCTTTCACTCTTTAAACTCCGATAGGCGATAGAACGATAAAATTAGACACAACCATCAGGAGCAGAGATCAGGCGCAAGGCCGACAGCTATACTTTATAATCAGGGCTCGACAAATTACCAACTCCGGCCTGTCTGACTGAGGATTTCTTGATAAAAAAAGCAAATAACTATTCTTAGCCTAACTGGGGACTCGAATCCAGAACCTCTCGCTCCAAAAACTCGTGTCTGTACTAACTTGGTAAGATGGTTCGGTTAAAATTGATTAGTTAAATAATTGTGCTACAAATTACACCATACCCTTATTATTATAACAACAGTATCTTATTGTAATTTTAACCTACTCCTCCTAACGGACTGGACCGATTTGAATAAAATTTTGTGTGTATATTTCAATGGGCTCCTGGATAGTTTGAAAACACAAATGGACCCAGTAGGTGGCGCTGCTGTCGGTATGCCGCTGATCATCTCCTAAACGGCAGGGACGATTTTAATGATATTTTTTGTGTATGTTCGAGTGGGTCTCTGCAAGGTTTGAATTCACAAATGGATCCGGCAGGTGGTGCTGCAGTCGGTGTGTCACTAAATTTTCATATAAGACTCTATTTTCCGAGCAATAAATAAATTTGAACTGTTGGTTAAATAAAATAAAAATCGATGTGTGTATTTATGTTTCCTATGGACTCCAAAGTAGCTGGAGCGATTTTGATGAAATTTTCAGGTAATCTTCAGATTAGCCCAGCAAGATCCTGTGAATTTTGTTAGCGATTGGAAGTTTGGACGTGGGCGTAGCCGCGGGTACTGCTAGTATCTTATAATATTAAACAATTATATTTATACTATATATATATATATATATATATATATATATATATATATATATATATATAAATTTATTTCGCGTATCTCAAAAACGGATGTAACGATTTGGATCAATTTTTGTATTTAGATAAGGTTTAGCTTTCTAAGTTTATCTACATTTATCATCGTCTTTGCTATAAAACGCATTTTTTAATGTCTCGAATACTTTGTGAGTACTTCCGAATAGCCCATACATCCGATTAATCTGAATTTTGGTATAGGTACATATAGATTTTGACGCGCTGGTAACAAATATGTTATTCAAAATACGCGCATATTTCATTTTCAAAGCCAAATCCAATCAAAGGTATGGGCTACTCGAAAGTTTATCCATATACTTTCTTAGATTTACGCGAACATTTGACATGTATTATACATATAATAAAATTCTAACTAAGCCGAATCTGTACATTAAATATTTTTTGGAAAATTTTATTGAAATAGACATTATTATCGATACAGAGGCCGAATCTATAGTTTTTAGAATATTTGTCTGTCTGTCTGTTACCGCATCACGGAAAAACCACTGGATGGATTTTGATGAAATTTGGTATGATGATAGCTGGTTATCCAAGTCAACATATAGAATACTTATTACCGCGGGAAAATGTCTCATTTCTGAGAAAAAATACAAAAACTGCAATGTAAGAGTATACTAATATGTAAAACCTAACAATTTGGTTTTTGGTCATTTGAACGCGGGCGGAGCCGCGGGCAATGCTAGTTTTAAATTCAATCTAAAATCAAAATAAATGTACGAAAAAATCCGAAAAGACAATTTTAATTAAAACGCCAAACAAAGCTCTTACTTTAGATGATAGTCAGCGTAGGTTTGGAAATATTCAGGTTTAAGTCTGTTGAGTCCTCCGTAAGTATTTTCAGTTTTCATCCAAACTGGGGGAGACCATGTTGTCGCTACAATGTGTATGGAAGATTTTGCCACTTTCATTATTGATTTTATCATTGGAATCTGAAAACAAAACTGCATAAGTTAATTGTCTCCTACTATGACTGATGTGATCCATCAAGTCTTATTAATACTATCGTCCGCTAAGTGGGTCACTGTGAATATCTTGTTCAGGAGTAATCTGCCAAAGCTTTCATGTCCACTAAATAGAGCTGTGGAAATCGAACAGATAAACAGACACACGAATGTTCCTGAAAGGGTCGAGTTGTATTTCAATTTATCTGGTACAATTGTAATTGCAAAATTTTGCATAAAGCGGGATTACTACGTCGAACTTAAAAATTCTCAATCATGTTTTTCTAAGACTGGACATCAAGACATATTTAAATATAAAATAAGACAAATTCTTAGTTAAACAAATATATTGGAACATTAAATATGTTGGGACATTAGCACACAGCACCATCTAGTTCCATGGTAAGCTACGAGGCTTGTGTTATGGATACCAGATAGTTGATACACTACACATATACATATAACTTTAAATACATACATATCTATACATATAATAAAATTCTAACTGAGCCGAATCTGTACATGAAATATTTTTTGGAAAATCTTATTGAAATAGACATTATTATCGATACAGAGGCCGAATGTATAGTTTTTAGAATTTTTGTCTGTCTGTCTGTCTGTTTGTCTGTTACCGCATCACGGAAAAACCACTAGAGGGATTTTGATGAAATTTGATATGGTGATAGCTGGTTATCCGGGTCAACATATAGGATACTTTTCACCGCAGGGAAATGCTTCATTTCTGAGAAAAATACAAAAACTGCATTGTAAGAGTATAATAATTTGTAAAACCTAAGAATTTGGTTTTTGGTCATCAGAACGCGGGCGGAGCCGCGGGCAATGCTAGTTATAAATATAGTTGAAACTAGACTTACTTTATATTTCACATCTTCAAGTGCCAGTGTGTAATTAGTGAGGTGAGTATCGTTGACAGGAAGTTCATTGTACGCGTAAGGATGTGTAGAAAAATCACAACCACCGATCGGCACTCGAAGCATATTATACTCAAGTCCTTTCTCACTGAAATATGACCTGAAAGATAACGTATTATAATTATTGTGTAAAAGGGCGAAATAATTTTATAATAAAAATAATATTATTTCATTTATAAAATTCATCCCCATACATCTATTATTTAATTCTTTATATATCTTACACTTTTAGAATATTTAATAACTAGCATTGCCCGTGGCTCCGCCCGCATTCAAATGACCAAAAACCAAATTCTTAGGCTTTACATATTAGTATACTCTTACATTGCAATTTTTGTATTTTTTCTCAGTAATGAGACATTTTTAGGCGGTTAAAAGTATCCTATATGTTGACCCGGATAACCAGCTATCACCATACCAAATTTCATCAAAATCCCTCCAGTGGTGTTTCTGTGATGCGGTGACAGACAGACAAAAATTCTAAAAACTATAGATTCGGCCTCTGTATCGATAATAATGTCTATTTCTATAATATTTTCCAAAAATTATTTAATGTACAGATTCGGCTTAGTTACAATTTTATTATACATATATGTATAGATAGTAAAATTAAATGATATAAACTTTAGAACATATCTAAATATATTTTTTATCAATTAATTTTGATAATCATCATGTTTGATTTTTCAATGTTTATTTCTGTGTACATTTTCCATCATCACTAACTTATGTACTAGAATTATTCGTATAAAATAACAAACCTTATCAAACTATCCTGTAGTATTGGAGGCAAGCTACTCCAATTAATTGCCGTAGCATCTGTAACAGCACCTCCAAAACCTTGTACTTTTTGATACGTCGTCTTTGTATCGAGTTCCAGGATTGTAGAAGAACAGGAACCTGTAAATTTATTTATTATGATTATTTACTTAAATATTGTTATTGGTTTTTATTTCAGTCATAATAAAATAAGTTTCTCCCCTAACTAAATTAAAAAAACTTCTCTCATCTTTCTGGTAGTGCCTTTAAAGTAATTTCATCATTATGCACTTTTCAATTCTTTGTTATTTGGCTTTTAGGCGTGCCAGTTGGGCACAGATTACTTCGCCAATGTCGTGTAGAATGGAGAAGACACGGTATAGATAAGGTATTATGCACTTTTATCGCGGATACTTCACTAGAGCTATTATTTTTTTATAATGTACTAAGAGTTATTATATATTGAACTAGTTTATATACGCAGTTCCAATTCCAGTTTCAGCACGTCCTAACGTCCCATTGCAGTGCACGGGCCTCCCTTTAATGTGAGGGGGACCAAGCCATAGTCCACCACGCTGGCCAAGTGCGGGTTGACGGACTTCACATGTCTTTCGATAACTTGTTAGATTATCTCAGACATGCAGGTTTCCTCACGATGTTTTACTTCACCAAAAGACAAGTGGTAATCATGTTGAAAATGATTCGCACATGAAAATATTAGAGGTGCGAGACCCGTGATTTGAACCCGCTTCACTCGGTTAACCAAGCGAGTGCGTCACTACTGGGCTACCACTGCCTATCTCCAATCGTGTGGTAGTAGGTAAATAAAATTAGCTTATGTGTTAAATTAGTACATAAACTTTTTCGATTCAGGGTTTCACTCACATCCGTTTAGCTTTTATAGCGTGAAGAGGCAACATACGTACTCAGCACTCACCCACTCACAAACTTTTTGCTTTTAAGACGATTCGAATTCACAATTTTCAATACAAATTTTAAGACTTACTGATATCTTCGTCACTCCATTTTCCCTGCGTTTTATTAAAACGAAGCCCGGCCTATAAATAAGTATTTATATTTTCATAAATCATAAAGCAAATAAAAATAATTTATTTGGTGAACTACTTTAACTAGTTTTCACATTGTGTTCATCAATAATTCATGGAAAAAAATTCAATCATTCTTGGAAATTTGGGCAAAATAAAAGCGGTTAATAAACAGAGGAGAAATAGATACTAAATTGTTTTATCTTTGCCTGTTTACATATAGATCCTAGAGGGTAAAAAAAAGTTCAAGATTAAGGTTTTGTTCAATTTTAGTTTAATTTTTAAGTTTGTTTAGAATATTAAAGTTTAGTGAGAAAAATATAAATCTTACCTTAGATGACGTATAGGCTATATAAGAGCCTGAATTCAGAACCTCTCTGGTGATCTCATCGCAGTAGGATGTATTACAGACACACACTGTTGACTGATCTGGTATTTGCCGGGTAGCACACGGCCTATCTGTTAATGGAAAGTATCAATTAAAAAATCTTTTTATTTCCTTTCTGACGGATTTCGGCCACGGCGGCCAATCTCATTGAGACTAGCCAGATGCGCAAGAGATATTTATTATAGTGCACAAGTGTACGCGCAGACACAAGTTCACTCTCTAAGTCTGATGGGACGATACCTTGACACGACCGGTGAGAGTTAAAGCGCAGGACCAACGGCTTTACGCGCTCTCCGACACACGGGGATGAAACTTCTCAACTCCGGGCTGTTATTGAGAATATTTTAACAGAAAAACTCAGTAATTAAACTTGGACCGACATGGGACTCGTACCTAGGATCTCCTGATCTGCAGCCGTATATGCTAACCACTAGACCCCCGAGGTAGTTAGTTATTGCTGATATTTACATTACAACCACGAGTTAACAAGCGGCATTCTAAAGGTTTCAAAAATCTTTTTGTATTGTATTTAGTCATCAACGTATTATCGTAGATACCCATCGTATTAGATACCCAATGAGTGCAATAGTCAGGCGTAAGGGGGCATCCATTAATTACGTGAAGCATTTAGGGGGGAGGGGGGACTCACTCAAACTCACGTGGGGTAGGGGGTGGACTCGGCAAATATCACTTGTTTTTACGCAAGAAACAGTGTTGCGAGAAGACGGATGTTTGTACTCCAGTCATGGGTGTTTATATTTATAATATGTATGAATTTAAAGTTATATATGTGTAGTGTATCAACTATCTGGTATCCATAACACAAGCCTCGTAGCTTACCATGGAACTAGATGGTGCTGTGTGTTAAAAAAAATCGTTGCGGTTTAATTATGCATGATAGAAGAATTTATTAACTATTAATAAATTCATTTTTTTGGAAACAATTAAGACAAATAAATATGAACGAATATTTCTTAACATTCAATAAATAATCGGTAACTATTAATAAACATTTATTAATAGTAAATAAATTATGGTACGATGAGAAAATCATTCATAAAAAATAATGCCATAACCTTTTATAATAAACATAGGATGCACTAATAGTTTTGACTGAAAAAAAATCTGTATAACTTATTACGACCATTGTTTTGTTATTAATTTTATTTTCTCCACATCAAATATTTTTTGAATTTTTTTATAGAAATAGACATTATTATCGATACAGAGGCCGAATCTACAGTTTTTAGAATTTTTATCTGTCTGTCTGTTACCGCATCACAGAAAAACCACTGGATGGATTTTGATGAAATTTGGTATGGTGACAGCTGGTTGTTCGGGTCAACATATAGGATACTTTTTACTGCGGAAAAATGTCTCATTATTAAGAAAAAATACAAAAACTGCAATGTAAGAGTATACTAATATGTAAAACCTAAGAATTTGGTTTTTGGTCATCTGAACGCGGGCGAGGCAGCGGGCAATGCTAGTTATGTTAAAAGAACACAAAATTGCGACAAAGTGTCAAAATCGAAACTTGCATTAGTGAAATCGATAATGTCATGCCTGTTACGTATTAATTCTCCATTGCAAGCGAATAACACCAATTATTTTATCTAGTAGTAATAAATATTACTTCGAAGTTGTTTTCGTAACTTTTTAGATAAGATAGTGAATTATTATGAATTGAAAAAAAAACAGAGATGAGAATAATAATAATCTATACTAATATCATAAAGAGGTAAAGTTTGTGAGTTTGTGAGATTTGTAAGTTTGTGACGTTGTAGGGGATAATCTCTGGATCTACTGAACCGATTTAGATGAAATTGGTAAAAAGATAGTTTGAGACCCTGGGAAGGACATAGAATACTTTTTATCGCGGAAATCATCCCCTGAAGTTGTGAAAATGGAGATGAAATTTTGTATGAGGGACACATGTTTGGTAAAAATCTAGTAACGAACCCAAGCGAAACGAGGGTGAGTCGCTAGTAAGAAATAAAATTTTTAATTAATCTAATCAATTGACAACGCTTCAGCTGTCTGGAAGTAGAAGCAAAATAAGCACTGTGACGTTACGTGGGCGTAACGACGCTTCTTCAGGAATCGTTATGGACTAAGATCCCGCTGCAAGATTGTTACGTTCATATAGTATTTAATCAAAATCAATTTTTTATATACAATAATAAAAGGGACAATATTTTTTGACCGGTTTGCCTATTAAAATGTGCCGCTAGTATGTTTAATCAAATATATAATAATTGTCCTTTTGGAACAAAAGCGATGCATTGTTATTAAAATGAATTATACTCCGCTTCACCGAAATATACGTAGAGATCTTGAAAAGTGATAGCTGCCGTTGCGCACTTGGCCGCAACCTCTTCGCAGCCAGGTGTAAGCAGGTCATATTTTGTTACGTTTCTACGTTCATGGCGTATATTCATCATTTATATATCAAATTAAAGCTGTTTTTACTGTGCATGATAAAATACCTCTACCTATGTAAAAGTGGCCGCAATGGAAAGAAAAGAAGGAAAGAATATAATATTATATATCATTTGTCAGACAATAGGAACGGTTACCATGGCAACAAACAATTATCTAACGCGCTAACTCTTTCATTTTAATCTAACTTTGCCAAAAATGTGTAGGTCTCCAACTGCATAATACTATATTCCTTCGCGAACTTGTTTTGCGTTTTTAGTTAGCTTTTGCAGTCTAGTTTTTTATTTTTATAATATATTTTTTTATTAACAGCTTTTTAGTTTTTACCAACTAGACATTGTTGAATTTTTGAAGTTATATTTAGCAATTTTCCCCCTTATTTTTTATCCTAAATTACTTTTAAACATATAAGTTGTATATATTTTTGTGATCGCCTCTTAAAAACCTTTATTTTCATACCCTACTCGATTGGTTTGGAAGATTTTTTTAAAGACACAAATTGGTGCCTGAAATCCGCCATTTTATTTTTTTATATAGTCTACAATACTCGCGTTATCAAGACAAATCTAACGACACGACGTATTAATCATCAAAATCGGCCTACGCGTTTGGTCTCTAGAACGCATAGGAATAAGCAAACAAACATCATACATACATACATATTACATAGCCTGATAAACACATTGTAGGGACAATGCAAAAATGAATGTTGTCATGTCAGCGGTTTCGTATATGAGCGAGACGTATAAGAGTGGATAGCCAGTTACACTTTTTGGACTGCGCAATGGAGATCGCGTGTACGCGTGTGTCGAGTAGGGGACATCATATTAATAAATTAGCTTCATATATTTAACACTATTTATTGAACTCCCAATGCAAATACATATTGAGAGACAAATACTCTCACAACACTACCCTCCTTAGCGTCACGCTGTCAGGTAAAAATATATGGGAAAGACCTTTTTTACATTCTGACATAACGATTTTTGTCATTTCAATACACTATAGTCTGTTTTTTAATCTCAGAGACAAAACTGACATTACGTGGGTTACCAGTTTTTTGCAATTCTTAAATAGCAATGTGCCACTATCGAAAATTAACGTTAATAAAATCAAGTATCGTTTTTTTATAATAAGTTATCCCGAAATAATGTGTAGGTAAAAAAAACGTAATAATACAAAATTAATAATGCAAATTTAAATTTAATAATGTGGATTTTAATGATACTTAATAATTTAAAATTATAAAATTAATAAATATGATATTTTATGATTTAGAATTAATAATGTGAATTTACCGAATCCTCATAAAAAGATAAAAAGTTACTATGGCTAAGTAATTTAAGCCTACCTATTAAATACATACCTAATCAAATATTTTCGAAATCGGTGCCAGCCCATACAAAGCAAAGCACACCGACTTCGAAAATATTTGATTAGATATGTATAGTAAATGAAAACTACCAATCAGTTATTTTTTACTTTTTAGTGCTTTTGTTTGAAGTCGGTTTTTATTTTTTTGTTAAAAAGTTTTTATTTTTCCTCTTTTAGTGTAGACAGTAGTAGCAAAGTAAGAATTCTAACGTGTTAGGCTTGTCAAATCAAACAAAATAAGCCCAAACTCAAAGTATTAATTCAATTAGCTGTTGAAGAGTTCCACCTGGATAGGTGGAACCTGGATAGATAGAAGGTGGATACCTTCTGGCCTTGCCATCAGATCAGGTCCACAATACCTAACCACTGTACTATCAACGGAAGTAGAAACACTTACAAAGTTTCAAGTCAATATGACAATTAGAAGTAGGTTAAATTCATCATTAGCTATTTTTCCACCCTTAGGGGTGGTATTTTTTTTTTGAAAATTAAATGGGACCAATCTGGAAGTATACACTTTCAAACAAAACAAAAATTGTCCAAATCGGTTAATAAATGACGGAGTTCTGAGGTAACAGACATAAAAAAAATACAGTCGAATTAAGAACCTCCTCCTTTTTGAAGTCGGTTGAAAATTTATATGGGATCACCTGGAAAGTATACCTTTGAAACAAAAAAAAATCCAAATTGGTTCAGGCGTCTTAGAGTAATCGGTGAACATACAGAAAAGAAAAAAGATTCCGACGAATTGAGAACCTCCTCTTTTTTGGAAATCGGTTAATGATGGGTCAGGAAACGGCTGTAGGTTGACAGTTATAATATGCCACAAGATGACAATGTTTTAACTTTAATAGAAATCGTTCCCCATGAAGTTTGGTGTCAAAGAATCGCCTAATAAACGGGTTTTATACTGCTATTGTACTATAGAAATAACTAAAATAAACTATGCCAACAGTATCAGAGCTAAGTCTACCCGCTAGCCCCTTTATGTGTTGATATCACTGCAGTTTATATTATTTAGCATTACCTACAGATCTAGTGGACTATAGAGATTTCAATGTTTATTAGAAAACCATCCATTATCAGCGAACTGAGCCGAAAGATGTTTGGTGCAGTTTCCGCTCTTCGTAGGTTGCGAAATTTTTTGCCCATATCAACCAAAATTGCACTAGCAAATTCACTCCTTCTACCAATTCTTGATTACGCTGATACTTGCTATCTTGACGTTAAAGAGGAGCATCTAAATAGACTTGAG